AATTTCATTATATAGATGTTTGCGATAATTAAACTAACTAGAACAGTGATAACTGCTGCAGTGATTACTCAATTAACAGCAACATGTGTTGCATTTCAAAACCTGCAACTTTTACCCCCACCTCCACACAAAATTAGTGCCCATGATTCTTCCCATTCAGTTCCTATTAACCCTGCAAGCCAAAGTCCTAACGATGGCCCAAGATGGATATACAGCAAGAAGCTTGCCAGACAGGTCACAATGGCAAGCTATGTAATTTTAGCTGGTTAAAATCTAAACGTACAATCTGGAGTCCCCCAGCCGAGGCGCTCACCAACCTGCACCCAATATTTTCCTGAATTATGGAAACAAGATGTGTTCCATCAGGAACCAAGTACATATTGCATTCCAGACAAATTTCCATGCATTTCTGTCATGCATATGTGGAACTCTATTTGGTTTCAATACTCTTAAGCATGGCGCTGATTTTCTAAGCTTCAGACAACCAGCTAACCAAAAAAACAAATTAGTTTTCACGCATTATGACAAGATTAATTTTTTGAAGCACTAGGAAAAGTAAACTCATGATATAAATAGTCAACATTTCTGCCAAAGTCAATAAACAAAGAAAAACCTGATGTGGATTTTGCCCCAACCAACTTGTCTTTTTGCTCTTTTGGTATTTTAAAAAAATTTAAAAAATGATTTGGAATAAATTAATCTAAAAGTAAACGGTAGACAGTTCTGTCTACAATATTCCTATCATCAGTAAACTGGAGACCAGCAGGAACTCAGCACTTAACATTGAACTCTGAAGATTATTTTATTGATGGGACACTTGCATCTAAATAGAAACCATATTCATTGTGAGACAGTGCCCAGCATGACATTGTTGTTTCACTCAACAAGCCTTCAGTGTTCCCAAATAAGATACTCCAATAACAAATTAGGTTTTTTTCAATTTAGAATCCAACATACTAAATAATAAATTAGCTAGGATCTGGAACGTAGAGAAATAAAGCACCTCCGAACTGCAACACAGCTCACTTCACTGCAAGCTGCAACCTGACTTATTTCTAAATACAGTACCCACTGCTGCTAGTTGAAAAGATTCTTCTGACTGAGCCAAAATCCCACCTGCAACATGCAGATGGCTACAAAGACATCAGGGCCTCTAGAATATGGGAATCATTGTAAATTAATGTGAACATTAAGCTTTTCAGACACCAAATTCCACTGTTCATTGAATATAATGGCACTATGATGACAATAGTCACTGCAACATAAAATTAGGAAGTATGACTGTCAAGAGGACACAAGACTGATAGATGGCAAATTAAATTTAAGGCAGAAAAGTCTTGAGGTTGGTTCATTTGGGGAGGAAGAATCAGGAAAGGAAATACAATTTTAAAAAGTGGTAAAACTAACAAGAATGGAAGGGCAGAGACACGTAGTTTCATTTAAAAAAGTGAAATGGATCAAACTTTCAAAGAGTCAATGGAGTGCTAGGTATTATAAAAAATGGCACATAAAATAAAAACAGGGAGATAACAACAGGCTGTTTTTCTCGGAACAGAGAAGACAGAGTCTTTATGGGGGTTGTTAAAATTATGAAAGCTTTTGATTAAATAGATAAATTATTTCCATTGGTTAGTGAAGGTAAGTAGAAGACATACATTTACGGTAATCACCAAAAGAGCAAAAGGACAAGTTGGTTGGGGCAAAATCCACATCAGCTTTTGAGGTGGAATTTGATAAATACCTGAATTATAAAGGGGTACAGGGAAACATCTGGAAAAAAGGACCCTTTGAGATCCAGGACAGGCATGAAGCATCAAATGGCCTCCTTCTGTTCTGTGAATGTCTATGGTTCCATTACTTGGAATTGACTTAATTTGTACAGATTTTAAACTGATCCATTAAAACCACACACAAATTAAAGTATTACTGATTGCACGTTGCCACCAGTTCTCATTCATCACCGTTTCAATTGCTTCACTTGAAGTGGAAAAAACAGCAACAATGGGTTTTTCGGAATATTAACTTCATACATCTCTGTGGTGTCTCCACAGAACTGATTTATACAGCATAGTCCCATCAAACAAAGTCATTTGATTAAAACAAAGATTAAACATGGCACTATGTTTTCAATAGTAAATAGTGTGTTGTAAATCTCTACAAGCCTCCCACCAAACAAAGTCAGTCTGATTAAAAGAAAGATTAAACGTGGAGCAATGTTCCCAATAGTAAATAGTGCATTGCAAATCTCTACAATCCTCCCACACAGCCACAGCATTAACCTCAGGAAATTAAAAAAAACTTCACAATCCTACACAGTATGAATAAAGTTTCCCAGTAACTGACTGACTGAGCTTCAAATCAAACCTACAAAACATGTCCTTACCCAGGGTGTAATTAAATCCACAAAATGCTCCTCTCAGCATTTGTTGAGCCAACTGTATGTAGCTTATTTATTAAGGAAAGCATTTTTAGAAAAAACGTTAGTCAGCACATACACAATAACATCTTTCAATTTACCTCAGCCCTTTTCAGGCTTGTAAGAATTCCATAGCACATTTAATCTCTGCAGCCTTAATGAATCTTGTATTAGTCAATGTATTATGAAGTGGCGCTGAGGGGTGGAATCTCTACATTTGACTTCTGTATTCTGTAATGATAAATACTAGAGTTTAACCTAGTCTTTTGACCTCCACCAGCACAAATGCTAAATTTATGCACTGGAAGTATCACGGACATGAAAGGCCAAATGGCCTCCTTCTTGGCTAATAATAATAAACATAATCCTTGCATTTGACATAGCGCCTTATCACGTTGTTGAGATGCCTCAAAGTGCTTCACAGAATATACTGTAAAGTGGATCGACTATTTTGTAGGCGAAATATGGCAGCCAATTGCGCACAGCAGTTTCTGAAAACAGTTGAATGTACTGATAAAGATTTTTAAGATAAACAATTGGAAACCCCTTTTGATAATATAGGTAGTTTGGAGGTGAGGTAGAAAGACAGTTTGCCAAAGGGCTAGTACACACATCCTTCCTGTTTAAATCCTCCGGATTCAAAAGCTAGCCATTCATATCCAAGTATTAAGAGTTTCTAACCGTGGGTCCAAGTTACAGCTAACAAACCAAACGGTTATGAAGATACAAAAACAGAGTGATCAGAAAACAAACTGTAACCACCAGCCTCAGATCAAAAAGATCAATAGCTGCTTCAATTATGCTCCATGCTGAGAGTTTTATCTCTATCACAACAGTAGCTGCATGCTGCAACTGTGCTGAGCAGCCCTGCTCGCGGGGTCCCCACCTGAGCATTATACAACAATATCATCGGGAAAAGCTCATGACTTTGGATATCGCATGAAAACAGGATCAGGCTTGATTTTGATGCCCTCCATGGTCAAATAGACTAGTGACATTCCCCGTCTGGACTCACACGAAAATCAGCCTTTAGCAACACAATATTGAAGAACCATCAATGCCCAAGAAAATGTGCTGTATCAAGAATCATTGCTTCATCAGAGGGCAGAAAATCGACTAAGAAAAGCCCCACATAGCATAAAAAATTTAACAGCATCTCACAATTTAAAATTCACCTGCAACTGTTCTAGCAATGTCAAGATTATCAGATGCAGCGTTATATGGATCTATGACATCCAAGATATTGTGTGATGGGAGTAGAATTCAGCAATGCAAAATTACTCTATTTTGGAACAGTTCCATCCTTCAGTTATTGAATCATCTCCCTATAATAAATGAAATGATCCAGAAGCACTGATAAGGCACTTTCAACTGTACTGTCTGCTGAAAGTAAGATGGCCATCAGAGAATTATGACAAAAGGAAAAAGAAAATTAGAAGTATAGGAAAATACAAGTACAAGAAAATGGCGATCAATTTTATATTGGCATCTAAAACAGATGAAATTACCATTGGCCCTTCTCATGCTCACCCACTATATTATTATACAGTGAGAAGAACATACAATACAGCTGTCTTTCTTTCAATAATCATTTTACAACATTTCCATTCTGGTAATTGTGATGCATTTTCATTTTTGTAAAGAACCTATTTAACCACTGCCGCAAAATATTGGTTACCTAAGGGATTAACGATTGACACCAGAACATATTCATCCAGGGGTAACAAGAACATGTATTCCAACCATTAGATATTCATTTGGGAGGATCTGACTTTCTTGGCAACTGTACAGAATTGTACAGGGAAGTTGCATTTAAATATTAAAGTAGACCACACGTCAGCAGAGAAATGGATTCTACATCTGCTGTTGCATGATTTTTATCTACCCGTTCAGCTTTAGCTTCATCAACAAGCAGATGTCACCAAATTATCATCTGAAGATAAAGGAATGCAATTTCGTGAAATTGCCCATAAATGGAGTTTAGTCAGAAATAAACCTCCAGCAGTGACACATAAAACAATTCGATGAGCAAAAGTGGCTCATTTGATCAAAATAGTACTTACTCACACATAACCATATAGTGTGAAAAACACACAATATTTCACACCACTGGATTTGAATTATTCATGCTGTGAGAAGCAAAATTATGTCCCTCCAGCTACTACAATCATAGATCAAAACAGTACTTATTCAACATTTTGTCATGCCTTATCACTTTCCACACCCTAGGGTCAGCTTTTGCTACACACAGGCCATCTCAAACATCTTCTACTTCTGACACTGTATCTCAATACGAGAGAATAGAGAAACGTCTCCGCCAACTATCTCTCACTAGACATCAAGAAACAATGAGTTTCTGCTCTCCACCTCCCACAATCAAGATTGAACCATCAATGTATTGCAGAGTCTCATCACACAGACAGCATTGCTACCCTGGCAAACTATTGGAATTAAGTATTTCAATACATGATTGTATTGTGACAATGATCCAGTGGACTATTGAAACACTAAAAGTTATTTTAAATTACAACATCAAATGCCATCATTGATGAACAATTTAATAAACAAACGGGTTAAATCTTACCATGATAAAGTCTAATCATGCAGCTCAAGTCAGCCACGGCTGCTTCCTCTTGTATTCGTACTGGATCCTGGAATCCTAATCCAGACAGGTAATCATAAAGGATTTGCAGAGGCCTTTCATCAGGATCCATTCTTCTACAAACAAGAAAATGTCAACAGAATCAGAAAGACATTTTTTTTCAATAAAAATGCACAAAAAAAATACACAGGGGGAGAGACAGATAACCCACAATTTCAGTAATGTTAAAACAAGTGCTACCCACAACCAGAAAACATCTCATTTTCAGGAAACTCTATTGGAACACATTTTGTTCCCGGAATACAACAATCTGTATCCCTTAAACAGCTGAATCAGACGATTAGACTTCCAGTGATGTATTGAAGTCGTCCAGCCCTGTTGAATAAAAAGAACTGTTCTGTTTTGAAGGAAGTGCGAACAAAAATGCAATTAGATCAGATTCATGACAAAGCTGCAAGAGACAATTTGTTGATGTGACAACCAATAGAAAACAGCACTATTTCTCATCCAAAAATGAAGGCATCCAGAATACTACAGATATGTGCTAACTATTTTTTATAAAGGTTTGAAAGTTTTTCAAAATTTTCATTTACTTTCAAAATTCTTTTCAATCTCAACCCTTAGAATTATTATAAAACCTCTTTCCAGCATGGTAATATTTTTCCGAGATTCACATTTAAGTACAATGATGCACAGCAGAGCTTTTCATGCCTCTCCTGGACGACAGTAAAAGCAGCTTTCACCTGGGGATACTAACAATGCCACTTCCTCAATACTACAGCAAAACTTGCATTCTTAAAAGCAATAGTGATATGAAGTCTCCTTCTAGAATGGCAATGATGTGGTTAAACATTAGACATTATGGTAAATGTGTGCAATGCTGCCAAAGGCTCAAATGTTTAAAGGTTATACACCATTTTTTTCCAAAAGGCTAAATAAGGATTTTAAAATAGCTGTGCAAAACAAGGCTTCATAACTATTCTCTATGAAAACTAAGAACCCAATGGATTTGGTTTTATGTTGAACAATATTGAGTTCCATAATCCTCAATTATTTAACTTCTGAGTCTAGTTTCAGTTTATAGAAGAAATACAGAGGTATTTTAAAAGCATGGTCAATCATTCAAGTTACAGCAAGTATTGAATGCATACTCAATTAACGGCTTTAAGATTTTCTCTTCTAATCAATCCAAAACACTGAATATAATCAACCAATAGTACATACCACCCACAAACCAAGATTACCAGGAGTCATGCATCTTATATATTCCAATGAGAAATTAACCCCTCTCATAAGGATAATAAAGTAACATAAAAGGTTTCAGTAGAATAGCATTATAGATGGATGCTGACAGAACTTCATATGACAAACTAGTTATGCCTGGAGCAGGAATGTGAGAAAAAGGAAATTTAAAAAGTCAAAACAGGTTTAAAATTAGCCTATTATCTCCACAGATAATCAATGTAGTCACCATTAACAGGAAAGTGTGACTTTAAAATAAAACTGGGGACAAAAATATTATAATGCATGAATTACATCAATACTGTCCCTGCCATTCACGGTCATATTAGCCAGAAAAATCATAGGACTGCTTTTCATCCACTGACTGCTTACTCAAAATTGCTGTATAAAAAAATCAACCACAGCAGAAAACCGTGAAGTTATGATAAGTACAGAATTGCCACATTTACAAGGTAATAAACTTCTCATCCTAATAAATATATACATTTTCCAATACAACATTCCTCAATGCAGGAGAATTCTTTAATACTTCAAACTTAATAGTTAATTATTCTATACATATGCTGATTTGGTGTCATGATGGCAGGGAACATTTGTGCAGAGTGGTCAGATGCAGATCTGGGCCTTTTCAATGGCTTCCCTGGCAATGTCTGGAGCGAAATTGAGAAGATCCAGGTTCAATCCTCATCACGTTGTCGAGATGTCTCAAAGCGCTTCACAGAATAGATGGTAAAATGGATTGACTGTATTTTGTGGGCGAAACGTGGCAACACAGCAGTGTTCCACAAACAGTTCAGGATTGAGTGACTAAANTTTTTTTTGAAGGGATTATTACCCTGGAAAGCAAGCGTTCTTACTTACTTACTTAGAGGCGTGCACATAAATGTAAAATATAAAGTATGGGCAGATAATAACTGCACTGAGACCATGCACAAAACTATTGATTTTTTTGAAAAAGGTATTGAATTCCTGCAATTAAACCAGGATACCGATACAAGTCTGTGCAGTTAGCTCTGCTTCATAGAAGGACACCGAAATGCAATTTGAATTCTAAATTTGTGGCTTATGAAACGTACCTCAAGGTTTACTATACACTACAGGCCGACCGCAGAATGTGGGTGTCTTGCCTGGAACACTCTCCCTCAATCCCTCCGCCTTGCCCCCTTTTTTCAAGTCCCCCCTGAAGACCTTCCTCTTTGTCTGTGCTCACGGCCACCTCTGAGACGCTATCCTGCGTGGAGGGCACTATATAAGTGCAAGTTGTTGTTGTCTTTGGGGCCAGAACTGGGGAACTCGTCTTTGTTCTGGGGCAGGCTAGCCGGCTTCATATGCTGAAAACTGTCACCTTCCGGGTCAACAGGTCCCAGCCACAACTTCCTCCATCAAACAACTATTTCATTTTTTTTTAAAACACCAAAATAATCCTTGCATACAACTATAACAGTGCTTCTTGGGATTTTAAACTTCCATTTAAACAGGGAGACGGGATGTATTAGGCACAGGATGGCAAGAGGCAAGGCTTGGGGACCCCTTTATTGATAAGAGTTGTTCATGAGGGCATTATAAAAATTTAAAACTATGTTTCTAAGCAGTAAAGTATCACATGAATGAAGCTTTAAACATAAGAGCAAAGTTCAAGCATTTTGTACCTGTCATATAAACCCTAAAATAAGATTACAGTGTAGAATTTGTGCTCATGCAACAATTATTTTGTGCTTCAGAGATAGAAAGTTATTCTGTTCCATCTTGAATCTCAATTTGTGGTCAAGATAAGATACCAACAGACACTGATAACCAGAAGTATCTGTGCATTGATGTGCAAGTCCAAATCACCAAGGAACAGCGATTCAATTAATATAACGTTTAGGAGTGGCAATTTACAATTTACCACCAGAAAATAGCAGTCATCAATTAGGTTTTAGCCTATAGCTAATCCAATGGGTTAAGTGATCAATGTACTGTATTCAATTTCCCATTTAGCTAAATGGCATTGTGTATGGTGGTGGGGTGCAACCTATTTTGGTGCTGCCTGCCAGGACAGATAAATGGGAAATTTACATTCTACCCACCCATTGCTAATTAAACAATGAAAGGGAAAATACATTGTCAGAGGTGCAATCCTTCAGATGAAATGACAAACTGAGTTTCCATCTGCCCATTTGGATGGATGTTATCCCATGGCACGATTTAAAAAGAGAAGTGAATTTTAACCCAAAATAAAACTGACTACATGGTTGCTTGTGGGGCATTGGTAGGTGCAAATTACTTGCTGCATTCGCCCTCAACATACAGTCATTACATTTAACAGTAAAAATTCTGTGAAGTGCTTTTAAGATGTCCCCCAATATGAAAGGTACTATATCAAACAGAAGAATTATTATCAAATACAAATGAAGGATTTATAATGAAGGGAGCATGGTTTTGCTTCCAGACTAGATAGCGAAGCTCGGGCTGCCGTTACTGAGAGAGCAGTCAGCTAACTGAGTCATGTGTGAAATACACAAGTGAAACTGACCCCGTGCCCCCAGGTGAAAGGCGCTATATAAATTAAATCTGTTGTTGTTGTTAATGACCTTCTGCACAGATGTAAATTCAACTTCCTCACACACCATCAGGTACATTAACTTTATCTTCTAAGATCATTGTCTGTCTCTCAGATAAGTTAGAAGCAAGGCAACTACAGTTTTGTGCAAGTACAGCATAATGCATAATAAAAGTACGGCATTTATTTAAAAGGCAATACAAATTCTACAAGCTTTGAAACATTCCTTGTAAAAGAAACGTTCATCACTTCACAATTTCTGACCAGAACGATTTCCCTATTTTTGCAAATTGAGAACCTGGATGACAGGCAGTGGAGCAGGACTTAAAATAACTGAGTTAATATAACAAATCATAATAATAGTAAGTATTATTATAATAAACAGTTTTCTAACAAAGTTCTGTTTAATTTCTGTTGTTCCTCGAAATACTGAATATCCAGGCATAACCATTTTGAAGAGCTGTTCAGTTCAGCCTGGTCATCGACTGCCACAACTGAATTCCTAAAGTTCAATGACATGGACTGAGTGCTTAATATTGTATGATACTGTAAGTGATTAGAACAATCAATGAGTGAGTTCCTGACAAATAATTGTAGTATTTATTTTGGAGCTTGTTCCTACCTGATCAGATCTCCATGAAGTTGCAGGTAGACATTGTCCCCATCCTGAGTGCACAGCTCTGCAGCAGTGGTTTCAGTGCTGCAGAGTACCAGTTGCAGGTCTGGCCCAGAAGATGAGTTAGAACATGATGAAGATGACAATGATACAGTCGATGAAGAAGTGGAGGCTGAAGACATCATCTCCTTTCCGTGAATATATAAACACCCCCTTCGTACATCCCCTTTCAGCCATTCCCTCTCTCGTAAGCCCAGACTACTCTTCCTTCCTAGGCAGCTCCTGCTGGCATTTCGTTTCATATTTCTCTACAAAAGGAAAGATCAATAAATTACATCAGAATGAGACTGACCCTTCCTTATTCTCCCAAAGCTTAATGATGAGATGCCCAATCTATCCATAGGCTGAGACAAATAATGCACATGTGCAAAAAATAGATAAGTAATCAACGCCACAGAAATTCATTGTAGGCTGTTCTATATTCAGTCTGCCCCCCAAAAAAAACCTTCCTAAGCAGATGGCAATGTCTATTCAAATTAAAACCCTTGTCACAATGACCCATATTGAAATGAAGCATACTGATGGCACGCAAGACTCCACAAGGGCATTAAAAAAGGTGCAATTCTGAATGTTCAGCATCTTTTGCAGTAGTAGAAAGTTGTTGCAAGATAAATATAGAAGCCCTGAACATTACAGTGATCAAGGATGACCACCACTATGATACAAAATTGTTAAACAAACTCTGCCACCTTTTTCCTTGGTGAACCACATCCATAACCTGAACAATCCTGCAGTTCACCTGCAATGTTATCCTAGGAATTAATGAATTAGCCCATCTAAATCACTGTACTTAATTACAGTACCTGAAGATTCTCTCTTTACAACCCCACACATCTAAAAAATAAAGTTCTCAGCAAATTAATTGGAAAACTTCAAATAATCCAATACTATGTATTAAACATGTCAGACTAGCTGTTACGAAGCAACTCAGCCACAGAGAATCTAGTTTAAAAACAAAGAACTCAGAAGACCATAAGAGTGAATTTCATTTTTTTGGGTGACTCATCATCATTTTGGAAGGCCAGCCCCTTTCCTCTCACTAATGGAATTATATTAATGCTAATATTATTACAAACATATTTTCACAGCAGCATGCATGTATTGTATATCTATACCGTTTATTGGCTGCCACATTTCGCCCACAAAACGCACAGCTGATTCACTTGACAATGTATTCCGTGAAGCACTTTGAGACGTCTCAACGACGTGATAGGGCGCCGTACGTACCAAGTGCAAGGATTATTATGATTATTATTAATTAGAAAAACCAAAAGCATACAAAATCTCCACTGTTTGGCACTTTCTGTAAATTATCCAGGGGTTTAGCCAGTGGCAGATCCTGTAGGCTTTCAGATTCAGTAAGATTAGAGTCACAGGGAGGCTGAATCCCAGATAACAGCATGAAACGAACCAGACAGACCCACTGAATTTCACAAACTACTGTATAGACTGCATCTGGAGTCCTGTAGCTCAGTGGTTAGAGCACTCGCTTTCCAGGTGAGAGACCTGAGTTCAATTCCAGGCAGAGGGCGAAACCTTGGGCAAGTTTCCTTGCTCCACACAGAGCCTAATAATAATCCCTCCAAAAAAAAACAAATAATAAATTGGTCATTTTCAGTCCATGACTGTTTGTGGGACATTGCTGTGCACAATTGGCTGCCGCGTTCACCCACACATATACAGTCAATTCACTTTACAGTGTGTTCTGTGAAGCGCTTTGGGACGTCGAGAAGACGTGAAAAGTGCTATATCAAATGCAAGGATTATTATTATTATTATCTGCAACAACGTGGCCAATGGAATTGGTTGCAATGATTTATGGACCAAATATAAACAAAAAGGCACCATCTAAACATATTAGATTGGGACACTTGACTGCGGCGTCGCAGGTAGAACATTTGGGTTTTACTGACAACACAGGAATGGCACTCGAGCTAATTAATAACACGGACACTGAGGTTTTAAAACGAGAAGTAGCGTTGACTGTTAAAACACCTCAGTGCGCTTCGCTCATCGCTCTCTGTGAGAGAGAGAGAGAGAGAGAGACAGAGAGGAGGGGGAGAGAGCAAGAAAGAAAAGAAAGAGCTGATCGGGGTACAAGCCATCGCATCAAAACGATCGGATTGGATCAGAAGCTTCTTCCTCAAAATGAGAATTTTTTTAATCCTTAAAAAAAATCATCAATTTACCCAAATTAGAAAGAGAACTTTTGGTTTTTTTGGGGGGGAGGGGAGTAAGGGGGGGGGGGAAGAGGGGAGTAAAGGTGGGGGGAGGGGGGGGGAGTGAGAGGGGAGTAAAGGGGGGGGAGTGAGAGGGGAGTAAAGGGGGGGGGAGAGGGGAGTAGGGGGGGGGGGGGGAGTAAAGGGGGGAGGGAGAGGGGAGTAAAGGGGGGGAGGAGAGGGGAGTAAAGGGGGGGAGGGAGAGGGGAGTAAAGGGGGGAGGGAGAGGGGAGTAAAGGGGGGGAGGGAGAGGGGAGTAAAGGGGGGGGAGGGAGAGGGGAGTAAAGGGGGGAGGGAGAGGGGAGTAAAGGGGGGAGGGAGAGGGGAGTAAAGGGGGGGGAGGGAGAGGGGAGTAAAGGGGGGGAGAGGAGGGGTAGTGAGAGAGAGAGATATTACATCGTAGGAAGAACCGCCTCGCTTTTTATTTATTATTTTTTAAAAAATCACTTGAAACATTCCCGAAAAACGAAACGTTTGTTTTATATCTATACCCGTGTGCGCGCGCGCGCGCGCGTGTGAATACATATATAGATATATATATACATCTCGAAAAAAAAAGGAAATTCGAAAAGGTGAAGGCGCAAAAAAAATTTTTTTTTTCTAAAATAAAAGAACGACGTCTTTTCAAAATAAAAGAAAAACCAAAGAAAATAAAAAAACAGTAAAACACACAAACATATATAGATATATACATATATAGAGAGAGAGAGAGAGATAAGATACATATACAGATATATAAAATATATATAGATAAAAAGCGTTTACCTTTAACACACGCACTCCTTTGCCAACAGCCGTTGCCGAGCTCGAGCCGCACGCGGGGCTCGGCTGAGGCTGAGGCGACAGCGGCTCCACCATCACTGCGGCGCCGGCGGCCGGGGCCGAGGGGGCGGCGGCTGCTGCTGCTCCTCCTCCTCCTCCGCCGCTCCCCACCCGCCACTTGGGCTCCTCGCCATCGCTCAGCCCAACCGCACACGGCGCTCGTTTAGCCGCCTCCGCCGATGTGACTTTGGCCATTGCATTCAACCGCATTCAAATATATATATATATAAAATAAATACACACTCCCCTCCTCCACTCCTCACTTCACAACCCACCCCCTCCCTCCCTCCCTCCCTCCCTGCCCACAGGGGGCGAAGCGCGTGCTGCGGACACTCCTCGGCCGCCTTTCACCTCTCACTGGGCGCCATGATGACAGCGTTCTCTCTGCTGCTGCTGCGGTGGTGGTGATGGTGGTGGTGGCGATGGTGGCGGTGGCGGCGACGAGAGACGAGCAACTGCCGAGCTCCAACGGCCGCCCTCGCTCATTTGCATACCCAGCCCCGCCCCTCGTCCGACCCCGCCCTCTCATTAGCATAGCGACCCGCCCCCTCCCCCCTCACTCCTCATTAGCGTAGCGCCCCGCCCCCGCCTCATGCGTGAGCGACGTCACTGCGTCAACCAGGCTGCACCCACGTGGTGAATGTCCCATCGTGGCTGACAACTCTGTGCCACACACACATGCCCTGTAGTAATAATAATTATTATTATTATTATAATCCTTGCATTTGACACAGCGCGCCTTCGAGACGTCTCAAAGCGCTTCGCGGCATATTCTGCAAAGTGGATTGGCTGTATATTTTGCGGGCAAGAATATATGTACGCGCATATATGTATCTGCACACGACTACACTTTGTCGTGTCCTGGCCATTTACTGTGACGCAGTTCGAATACTGCTGTCCCAGCTGTCAAGCGCTCCGAGACTCCGTCTGGCGTGAAGGGCGCTATATAGATGCAAGTTGATTTTACTGATGTGTATTTGCTGAATGCAAACTAATCAACGTATTGCAGGAGCTGTGCCGGTAGTACACTGGGAACTCTCCCAACAAAGCCCTCTAAGCACTCAGTCTGGATACACAATGGTTGATAACAACAACAAATTACATCTTTCTCGGGCCTTTCATACCGAGAGGGCCGTAGCCTGAAGAATTGAGTACATTTGGGCTGGAAGCGCATCTTTTTACAAGTATCGTTTTTAGATTTTGAGTATTCATTTTAAAAATAGTGCGACTTTAATAGGTGTGATTTGCTCACAATTGGCTGCTGCATTTGGCCTACAAAATATACAGTCAAAACACTTTATAATATATCCTGTGAAGTGCTTTGAGACGTCTCGATGACATGATGAGGCACTACATCAAATGCAAGGATAATTGTACATTTCTTTTAAAATGCATTTTGTATCGAGTCTTTCCCCATTAAAAGGTCACAAAGGACTTCACACAATGAGTTACTTTGAAGTGTAGCAAAACCAGAAGTATATCAAGTCAACTCTGCTCTGATATAATCTATTTTTGGAGCCTAGGTCGGCATGATATGCACAACCTACTTCCACTTAACAAACGCAGTCCCCAATTGAGATTGCTCATTAAGAAATCCAGATAAAATAGCTATATATTAGGCCCTAGCATGTATCCCAACCAGCACAAGAACACATGACCTTGGTTTAATGTCTCATCTGAAGGAAGGTACCTCCGACCATATATTACTTTCTCAGAACTGCACTAGATTATCAGTCTAAAATGATGAACTGTGAGTTGATGACGTTATCACATCATCTGCATCATTCCTCCACAGCAAAAATGGTAAATTATTTTCCAAAATACACTACCCGGTGAGATAGCACCCTGTTAATCACATTGGAAATTCCCAATTGGCTGTGGAACATATGCTCATATTTCACATTAATTAATTTTACTTTGACAATTTGAAGATTAGCAGAATCCTTCTCTGCTTCTAATAGCAAAAATTGAGTCATGTAGCTCAGTGATTAAAGCACTTGCTTTGCAAGCAAGAGACTTAGGTTCGTTTCCCGGCAGGGTTAAACCTTGGGTAAGTTTCCTTACTCCACATGCCTGATAATAATCCCTCAAAAAAAATAATAAATTGGTTATTTCAATCCACGACTGTTTGTGGGACACTGCTGTGTGCAATTGGCTGCTGCATTTCGCCCACAAATATACAGTCAATTCACTTTACAGTCTATTCTGTGAAGCGCTTTGAGACATCTAGAAGACATGAAAAGTGATATCTCAAATGCAAGGATTATTATTATATAGGCGCAGATTTTTTAGGGGCTGGGCATAACAGCACTAAAGTCTGAACACATGTAAAACCATTTAAAAAAATATAAACCCCCTATCCTAAGTGTTCCTTTGGGCTTTCCACAAGCGGTCAAAGGTAGTTACTTTTTACGGTTTCCAATTACAAAGCATAATTACAAATATTACGATAGAGACTTATACTGAATTAGGCAATATTGTATTGTTTTAGAGCAATGAGTATCGCTGCAAATATCCTGACTCTGGCAGAACATTATGAAATTGTATGTATACTACATATTTGAATGATTGGAATTGTTTCCTCGTGGGGAGATAGGGTAAAGGTGAGTGTGAGATGTTTCGCCATAGAAAGGAAAAGAAAATTGGAGCAGACCTCCCCCCTGTGGACAGTTGCAGAAGTCATCGACAGTGCCAGCAGCTGACCTCTGCCTTCTTGTGACACTGCAGAATATGAGGAGAAAAGTACATTTTCTGAGAACATAATCATTCCTCATCATGCAAAAATGGCCTAACACCCTAACAATAGAAAGTACGGTCCAGATCCCTGTCCCGCATGTTCTTTGAAATGCCAAGCCACCTCAAAGTTTAACTTCGTAGATTTTAATTTGTAATCTGAAACATTTCTACACAGATCAAACACTGGCTCAGTTTAAATTACAGTGAAAGTGTGGAAACAACAAATATGCAACACAAACATAATGGAATAATCATCAATTTAGCTGCAACATTATGAATCAGCAGATTAGGCAATAATTTAAGAGTTTTCTTTTCTTTATGGATTTTTAACGGAATAAGGAACAGTGTGTACTTTTTATCCTTCCCTGAGAATTACCTTGACACGCTCATGGCAGCCTGAGCTACAGCTGGAATTCATAGACATATTGCTTAATGGTGCAGATTGCTGCATCACTTGGATAAACCAAATGTTGATGTTAATAGCCTCAATTTCTGTGATATTTTGGAGTTACAGAAATCTAAACAGACAGTTTCGTGTACTGTAAATAATTCAGCCATGTGTAAGAATAGGTGGTAGACAGACACAAACCATTTGGGTATGTGAAGATTTATGTTAGCTAACGTTTGATTAGTGTACCAGAAGTAATCCTTCTCAAATCACGAGTAGTGGAAATAATCAGCAGATGCAACTATAACCAACAAATTACATTGGTATAGTATCTTTCACATTGGGAGGACGTCCCAAGGCCTTGGACAGTTAGGGATTTGGAGGCATCAAGCAGATCTCAGGAGGGTTTATCAAATGGTCTACAAGTCAAGTTATCACGCTACATTGTAACCTAGTAGATATATAACTGGATGGATATTGTATTCAAGATATCTAGAAAGGTTCACTGAAGATATTATCTCACAAGGGATATGCACTACAGACCTGGCGTGCCAACACTAAATGGTATCCATGCATCTTATGAGCAGTGATTAGAGCCATAAACAGATTCCCACCTGACAATTTTATTATGGACTTGAAACAGCCAATTACAAGCAATTTCAGTCATAGATAAAGATTGCCATACTTCACTTGTGGAATCTTGTATCATTTAGAATAACATTGTTTCTAAATTTAAATGAAAGTGTTCATCACAAACTGTGTGGGTATAAATCAATAATTCCCATGTTCTTAATTGCCTACAGAGGAGCAACAATGCTGTGCTTGGACATATTCCAATTTTGAAGCACAGGCTTGTAACATTTTCCAAAATCAATTCATGACCTTCAAACATACATCGTCTTCAAAGAAACATAATCTGCCCAAAATAGAGCCAATACAATGGTTTTGTCTGGTTCATATAAATCGTATCGTTATCTTGTGCACAGTCAACAAATTCACCTTCTTTACATTTTGTATCTCCTTTTAATAAAAGGAGCTGGATAGATAGCTGGTCAGAATAAAACAGCCACTTTTCAGCAAAGAACCAAGGATGGCTTGTGACAGCAGAACTATACCTCTTTCCCACGCACGAGTACCCACTTTAACAAGGAGAGAAAATTAAAAAGATTGGCATATTAATTTCCATAATCTCCCAAGTTGAGGATCACAGTATTTGGTCATCTCCATTTGAATTTATCCAAATAATTCTTAATTCTGCTTCCAACCAGATATTCATCCAGCTCTGTTTCTAAATGGAGATGATCAATTCAAGATTAGTTGCTTTTGCTGCAGTCGTGTGTTATGGATCCGTTCCTCCATGGTGGAAGGTACAATTTTTTTTCCCAGTTGTAGTCACTTCTGTTGCCTGACCGAGTTCCTTCACTGCATCTTCTCAGTTAAGTGACTGAAATACTAGTCAATTTTTTCCCCACTCTGATTTTATGAGTGAAAACTACAATAAAATAAATTAAACAATGAGATAGATTTCAGTTTATAATTATTTATACAGTACATATATGAAGATAATTATGTTCTTGGAACATGTCTAGTCAAATATATTTGAACCACTCTTCAGGCATTTGGGGAGGGGACAGCAAGACATTTATTCTAAAATAAAACAACCATCTCATTCACAATTCAAAATCTTTTGCATAAAGATTATTTTTAGATGAGTTCTGTACCATGTGCCTCCATCATAGCCAAGAGGAACAGCATAGCAACCACAAGTAATTACTGTGTTAACCATATCACTCTTTATAACTGTAACTACTGAGATTTAGTGAGCACGTTTTCTAGTGGAAGAAATAATTAACATGTTATCTTGTGTTAATTCACACTGACAACGAATTGACCAACAGCAGTTAACATTGA